GTTTAATATGCTATTGAATAGTAACGTTATAATAATAGGTGTAATAGTACTTATAATAGTATATACATACAGGTATTTTTGAAAGCCGAAAGTCCCGTCTCATTAATATCGCGTGTACACTCTCACAGTAAACAGAATAAAATTATAGTATCTATATAGGACTAGAGTACCGTAGTCGGGATAATAACAAACGTTAATATAATATGTATAATGACCGAGGGTTACCACTAAATTAATAGATAAGACATCGAGTGATCAACAGTATACATTTTTTTAGGGGAGTGTCACGCCATGGTAATACAATATAATATAGTGACCACGGTGCTGGTTAGATTTATAATATTACAATAATCATTCGCCTCGGCAGGCCACCAATCCTATATACCCATCCGTTGTATGTTTAAACGCGAGGGACGTCATCGTCTTCGGTCGTGGGAGGGGGGGTGTTGGCAAAGTCCGGAGTGTATAAATTTGACAAGGTACACTTACCCATTCGGCGAACTGTTCCTTGGGTGTCCTGCAGTTCATGACGTCGTAGTGGTAGTCCATCGCGGGGGCTGTACGTGTACCCGTCAAGTCCGGCGACCACGAAGGTATAATATTATGTTTATTAGAATTCGAAGAGAAATGATGGGTGGGTAAACGGTGAGCGAAGACGACGAAGACGACGAAGACGATACGAACCGGTTGCACAACGCGACGACCACCGTCCCACGACGACCGGCCGACTGTTTGCGCCGGGCCGAACTCGACGCGCGCGCGCACCGTGTGCACCTTTCGCGGCCGATCGCGCGCGCATGCACGCACACTGCACTCACTCCGTCACTACACCGGTTTGTCTGGTTTGCGAGCCGCAACTACAACACCGCGATGATAATATTTTAGTAAAAAATAATAATGTACGAGTAGAAACAATACAATTATTGTTATCACTTTTTACTGTTGTAGGAAGCGGATTCGAATAATATGCACTAAAAGCACGTCATAACTAGGGCTCGGATTTTGTAGCAAAATAAATCCTTAAAAAAGTATTTTAAGTAGTCAATAAAAGCATTTATTAATTTAATTCTAAAAAAKCAAATTTCAATTACACATAAAATTAGATATTAATAAAGGAACTTGCAGTCATATATTTAGTCAAGTTACTTCCATTAAAACTCATTGGATTGGGTGCTAATATATTTTTATACATAGAAAAAGACTACWACTAATTGTAGATAAAAGTATTTCGGCACAATAACGACAGTTATTTTATACGTCATATATTTATTACTGGTTTTTCACTGGTTTTATAATTTCTGGTAATAATAATATAGTCCAAGACGTATAATATACATATAAATAAGCTAAGTTTTCAAGAAAAAATAACCAAATAGAGGGAAAAGCAATAAAAAGCAGATTTTGTGGAAAAAAGCAAAAAAAAGTTTACTTCATTAAAATCAGAACGATTCAAAACGTATTTAYATRTAAGAATTATCTTTCTATCACACTCCCCTCAAAAGAAGCATTTGCTACAAAATCCGAGCCCTAGTAATAACTAATACGTATTCTTTAGAGAAAATACATTTGTAACCTAAAAGAGTCAAATAAAACCGTTAAAAATAAGAAAATCAACAAATTTCTGAATACAATTTAAAATATATATGTATATATATATATATATATACGAGAACACACTCAATCGTACATAAAATATAAATGATGGAAAACTATCATAATCGCATATTTAACCAAATCAACTAATAATAAAGCACGAAGTCGACAAGAATAGAATCCCAACAGCTTAATGTTGTAGATATTGAAATTTTTTTCACAGAAACATACACACACTATTGTATCTATTATCAAATTTTAAGTATGATACGATTGTTTCCGTTCATACGAGCGAAGATATTTTATTATTTATACTCTATTATTAATACGTGCACTATCCTACGGCTATATTAGATCACGAACGCACTGCAGGATGTCATCATTATTTATTTTTGACATACGGACTTCTACCATAGTTAAAGCGTAATCGGAAATCGGAAAAAAAAATACTGAGGAAAGACAAAACATGGAAATAAAGAASAATTTTAAAATTTCCATTTCAAAAAAATACCAAGATAATAATAATAAATTTACAACASGTGAACACATTGCAGGTGACTGTCGACTGACTAAATGTTGTCAAATCAATMAATAACACAAAGGTAAATCATGAAAATATGAAAAGATTTTATTCATTATTTATTAGGGTTATTTTCCACACTAGTTATGCTTTGTTAATAAAAGCATCATAAATTTACAAACCATAAAGATAATTAATAACGAAAGACATATTGCAACCACTCATTATTTAGAAAAATATTAATTTTTTTAAAATATTTTTTTACATGCTGCAATAAAATTAACAACGTCATCTTTAAAAATCCACGTGTTTAAAGTGTTTATATTTTATTAAATATTTAAAGCATTATTATAATCATAATATAAAGATGGAGAATAAAAAAAATGTGATTTTGTACTTCAATATTTTTGAAGATTATATATCTTTTTAATGACCACAAAAATTATGTTTTGGCTTCGACAACT